AACTCTTAAAAGGCCCAACTGTGCTTAGATTCTGTAGGATCCCGCTGCAACACAATATACTCTATTTTTTCCCTTTTCTTTTCTTTCTTTCTGCCTTCTCCCCTACCATCTTACAATTGGCTGTAGTTGGTTTCTGTTATTAACAGCCAAAAGAACTTTGACTAAGACCCCAGGTCAGACAGATGTTGGCGAGGATGCAGAGAAAGGGGAACCCTCCTAAACTGTTGGTGGGAATGCAAGCTGGTGCAGCCACTCTGGTAAAAGGTAGGGAGGTTCCTCAAAACGTTGAAAATAGAACTACCCTACGACCCAGCAACTGCACTACTGGGTATTTACCCCAAAGATACAAATATAGTGATCCAAAGGGGTACGTGCACCCCAATGTTTATCCAGCAATGTCCACAATAGCCAAACTATGGAAAGAGCCAAGATGTCCATCAACAGATGAATGGACAAAGAAGATGTGGTGTATATATATATAATGGAATATTATGCAGCCATCAAAAAAGGGAAATCTTGCCATTTGCAATGACGTGGATAGAACTAGAGGGTATTATGCTAAGAGAAATAAGTCAATCAGAGAAAGACAAGTATCATATGATCTCACTGATATGAGGAATTCTTAATCTCAGGAAACAAACAGGGTTGCTGGAGTGGTGGGGGGTGGGAGGGATGGGGTGGCTGGGTGATAGACATTGCGGAGGGTATGTGCTATGGTGAGCACTGTGAATTGTGTAAGACTGATGAATCACAGACCTGTACCTCTGAAACAAATAATACATTAAATGTTAGAAAAAAAAGAAGAAGAAGAAGAAGAAGATAATAGGATGGGGAAAATGAAGGGGGGGAAATCGGAGGGAGAGATGAACCATGAGAGACTACGGATTCTGAGAAACAAACTGAGGGTTCTAGAGGGGAGGGGGTGGGGGGATGGGTTAGCCTGGTGATGGGTGTTAAGAAGGGCATGTATTGAATGGAGCACTGGGTGTTATACACAAACAATGAATCATGGAACACTACATCAAAAACTAATGATGTAATTGGGCACCTGGGTGGCTCAGTTGGTTAGGCGACTGCCTTCGGCTCAGGTCATGGTCCTGGAGTCCCGGGATTGGGTCCCGCATCGGGTTCCCTGCTTGGCAGGGAGTCTGCTTCTCCCTCTGACCCTCCCCTCTTTCATGTGCTCTCTCTCTCTCTCTCATTCTCTTCCTCAAATAAATAAATAAATAAAATCTTTAAAAAAAACAAAAACAACAACAAAAAAAACAATTATTTAAAAAAAACTAATGATGTAATGTATGGTGACTAACCATAATAAAATTAAATTAAAAAAAAAAGACCCCAGGTCAGAACAATAACCCACCCTTTGATGACCATTTGACATGGCTACATGCTACCAAAGAAGTTCACCCCTGCCTCCTCCGAAGGCCCATGGGACAGAATTTAGAAAAATATCTGAAGACAACTTTGGACACAGTGGATGCTTCATGAAGTGCTTTAAGGCAAACAGAACATTATAAATAAGTGAACTGAACTAATCTCTAGACCTAATTTTTAAAAATAAAATGAATTCAGGTACACTTTGAGTTTAAAATGGCATCTGGCTAAACACTCCTGATGAAGTATCTCTAAATTTACTTATGACACAGAAAAAAAACAAAATTCACAACATTGAAAACGAAGACTAATCAACAATCTGTTACCAGCATCTAGAAGGAATTTCTATTAACTAAATAAAGGTAATGAAGCTGAGCTGCATTGAGACAAACTATCTATGTTTCATCTTGTAAACAGAGCAGCCTCATCCACCTGAAAAATGAAGACTTCACCTTTCTCCTATTTTCCACCACCAGCTCAGAGACCCAGGACCAGAGCAAACAAAAATCTGGCTCTTTGCTCTGGGTGCTATTTTGGAGATGGGCCAGAGAACTATTGCATCTTCCCCAATATACCCACATCCTTTCACAGAATACCACTCCTGGGAAGGCATGGAGCAGGAAGCAGAAGAGAACTAGCAATGGCACATCACATTTTGGAAGGTATTTTTTTCCATGTATGATGCTTTGTAGGCAGGATGAAGGCAGTGTGTGCTGGCGAGTAAGATTTTGACATACTCCACCAGTCCTGAATGTTATAGGCAGAAGTAGGAGGAGATCCCACATCAGTTCAGCAGGGCTATAAAAGATGAATCCTATCTTGGGAACTACAGAGGAGCTTTATGCACCTACTGAGGAAGTACAGAGGAGCTATGCACCTCAACTGGCTCTCCAGCTACAGATCTAAAAATTAGGGTCATAAGCAAAGCCAAGGACAACCCACACTTCCTCTCTGTTAGCAAGCACCAAGTGTCCATAGAACTCTACTTGCTTAAAGGTAAGTAAAGTGAAGGGGGTAGGAGTGGAGGCGGGATCCTCATGGGGCCTACAGAAAAACAATGCCACATTCAGGAACTAGAGCATCACCCAGAAGACTAAGAAAAAGAGCACACCCTGAAGATGATTTGCTCTAGAAACCAGAAGAAAATTTTAGGATATTGGCATCTATAATATGAAAAATGTAATGTGGCCCGGTGAAGTTGAAACTGAAAATCATATGGAAAACAAGCTGAAATAAACAGATAAGTTTCAAAGACTGCCACCACAGATGACATTTTAGTTCTTAACAAATGTAATGGCAGGGGAGGGCTCCTTTGGTTATGCTAAGCCTAATTGTGATTCTTTTAAAATAAACAATGAGACAGAACTCTTAGAACACAAGAAACAGCTAACTGCTGTTAAAATTTTAAGAGTGGAGTTTTTAAAATAGCTCATCCAAAACAGTATTAAGCAATATTCTGTTATTATCTGCCCAAGTTTCAGCCCCTTGCTTGTGAGAGTTCTCTTTTAACGAATGTCTTGGCAAATCAGAACACCACACACCCACGGGAAAGACTGTATTCTGAAACTTTTTTTTTGGCAGAAATGATGGGAGTGTTGAAATCCAATAATAACCTCATTACCTCGTTTGAGATAGTTTCATTGTCGAAGTTACTCTTCTTTTAGCAGCAGCAGTAAATAATTAAGAAAGCACAATTCAGAGAAGTTCTTATAGAAGTCTTTTAGAAAAAATACCTAGTGGTTTCAGAATATGTTATCAAGGTAACTTCAGCTGTTGTATAAACACATTTAATATTTGTAGACTGGATGGAATATAATAAAAGTGGATCTGTCACTTACAAAACAGCCCAAGGCAAAGGTTCCCAGTTCAAGAGCAGCTCTCTACCCCTGGACACCCACGCTAACAAAAGTTCTGCTGTCTTCATCATGTTGCCTCCAAGGTTGTCCTTGTCATTTCCTGGCACTCAGCTGGAATGGGGGAAAAAAAGCATGAATGAAAGCTCATTGAACATTCCTGTGGGGAAGTCCTATAAATCATACACATCACTTGGGTTTACATTTTTATTGTCTAGAATTCAGTTGCATGGTAAATATCAAGTGGCTTCAAGCCTATAAAGGAGAATTTGACCAATGGTCTCCTAAGAATAGATGGAAAGGAAGCTGCTTTTGACTTTTAAAAAATTTCCAAGAAAATAGAAGTATTAAATAATAATTAAACACCATATATAAAGCAGTAAATGAGTGGAAATCAGATGGCAGAAAGTCAAATAAGAATAATGGATGGCAAACTCAAGAAACACTTTCAAAGTGCAGAGAAGGGAACAAAAAAATTGAACTACCCTGTTCCACTGACTCTAAGACATCCATTTTTCCACATGTTAACACTGTGGAAATCAGGTTAAGTCTTACAGTCAGTGGCACCTTGCAATCATTTGGAGCAGGGAGCTGTCATGGTGAGGCTAGCAACTCCTGGCCGTGGGCAAACTTGGTCTCAGCTGTTCATGTTGTAAGCACTTTAATTGAGTTATGTACATCCTTGTGATTACATGTGAGTTTAATTGCTATTTGAAATGTCTTTTAAAAGATTACACTATGATTGGCATTGAAACAAGAAGATATTGTGTACGCAGAAAGGCATGGGATTAAAGCAGCAAGAGGTAATTTGATATTATTGAAGCAAATATTGGAGCAATGACTACAATTGCTCTTTTTTTTTTCTTTTTAAAGAAAAACCAAGAACTTTACGGATCTAGGAAAGAGAAACATTCTCTCGAAGTAATGTGAACTCTGTGATGTTCTGTAACAGAGAGGCATGCAAAATGGACTGCCTGCCACATGCCAGCAACGCAATTGAATGCAGGAGAAACTGCCAAATTCCCCAAAATAGATGCAACATTTTAAAACAGGAAAGGGCCTGGTGCAACTAATTTACAAATTTCACAGGATGGTAATTACGACACCATGTCATATTTTTAATTGGCAGTATTTTTTTTCTTCCTCAGTTGTACATAAAATAATAGTGCTTCTTACAATCAGTACAATCTTAGATTCAAAAAAATACAGATATTTAAAAATAAAATGATAGCTATGGAAGACCGGGAATAGAGATTCAGCCTAAGAATTACATTGCCAAAGAAAAATCCAAAACTGTCAAATAAGATATAATCATTGAAGATATAATTAAAGAAAATTTTCCAAACAAGGATGGGAACAGGGGACCTGAGAAGAATGAAATGGGTTCACCGGGTTCCAGGTAAAAGTAACCAAGAGAGAAATATCTTGACAAGCTTTTAAATTATAAACAAATAAAAAGCATTTTTCCATATACATCTGGACCAAAAAAAAAAAAAAGAGAGAGAGATATCTATAAAGGAATAAAAATCATGCTGATCTTCGTCTTCTCTTCCACAATGATAGAGTATTGTCTACAGTTCTGACATGACAAAGATTTAGACTCAAGAGTTTTACTCACAGGTAAATTTTAGTTTTTGAGAGGGGACAACAAAAAGATGTTAATAAAAGCTCAAAATGGCTGTCACTCACATATTCTTTTTTAAATCACTTTAAAATATATTCTAACTCCTAATTTTAATGAATTAAAATTAGGAGCTCAAAAATGGGAAAATCAGAATATAAAAGGACCAGCAGTGAGCAGTGAAACCAATTAAACATAGAGATGGGTCTAAAATAATTGTTTAAATACAGTTACAAGAAAGACTATGTGTCAAAAATACTCTGGAACCAGAGACATACAAAAACAAAAAATATTTAATAATAACCCAGATCCTAAACCCATATTTAATAAACTTTCAGGTAGGAAGGGGGAACAGAGGAAAATAAAAATATACAAAAGTCTATACCCTACACAGTTGTGAGCCTAAAAATACCATTTTATTCTTGACTAAACAATGAGAAATATTGATTGGTGTTCACATACATTTTTAGAAGCACATTACATAGGAGAACAGGAGACTTTCCTTTAAAAGACAAATAAAACTTCACCCCTGCCTCAAGATATTTGAAGACCCCTAGACAACATGCAAGATGCATTTTAATTTGTTATAAAAATAAACAAATGTTAAATTCTTTGAAGAAGCCTGTGGAGAACCAGTCTTCCAATGATGTTTATACCTTACTGCCGACCGATATCTTCTATTTCCTCTGGTAAAAGATTCCTAAAGTCTGGCATGAAAAGATGCAGAATCCTGTATCAAGGTGGTGCTCTCTCTACCTGAGGTCAGTGTCGCCCCACTCTGTCTCGTGTCAGTGTAAGATGGGTCAGTCCTCAGTCAGGACCGCCTTGTTCAACAGAGTCGCTGGTGGCACCCTGAAAAGACACAAACATTCAACCAGGAGGAAACTCCCCAAGGTACTGTTGTTACACACACAGCACCTAGGCCTGAAGTCAATACCTACACCAAGTGTTTTCCATCCACTACCTAAGTGGATGCTCACAACAACCATCCACAGGCACCATTTTGCCAATGTTACAGAAGAGAACACTGAGGCTTGTTTTTCCAGAATTCAAAGACTGTTTCCCAGAATTACATAGCCAGTAAGGGGGTGGCAGAGAGGGATCTCCAATCCAGGAATTTCTGGCTTAGAAGTTCATCATGCCATTCCACACCGTTTCCCTAATTCAAAGAGAGAAGGAAGAAGGAAAGGGAGTGGAGAGATTGATTTCATATTGCATCAAAGTATTAGTACAAGTGCTTTCTCTTTTACAAAATAATAATAGTAATAGTAATGCAATGCACTGGATTAATCACACAGTTCTAGTACCTCATTAATCCTCTCTAAAACGTTCACAAAGTGGATATGGGGCTGCTTTTTCTCCAACATCAATGGTTCTGAGACATTCCCAGAGCCTGCCCTGGTCTCCGAGGTTTGATTAGCAAGTAAGTACCACTGGACCTTCCGTCATCTTTGTTTCTTGTGTACTCTGAGCCAATCCTTCTCTTGCCAGGAAAGAAGTGACACTAAGTCACTGATGTACCCTCAAGAGTTCAAGGTCTAATGCACTGCTCCTTCCCAGAGCTTTGAGGAGAACAATACTTAAGAGAATGTACCTGTAATAGTGAAATTTTAGACACCAGCAAGGGAGTTCTTTTTAAACCTCCCTCCCCCACCACACTGACACCAAAAAACAAAAACAAAAACAAAAAATCTTCACATCACACCATATTGAGACCGTGGTTTCTCCTCATTTGTGTACCGAGGGCCCTGGCTCATTTCGGTGTTATCTAACTCAGTCTCTTGATCCCCCACAAATCATGTATAGAGGCCAAGCCGGGCCACAACATGCCATCAAGCCGCCGCCTGGAGCATCCCGATTCCGTCTCCGCTCTCCGCGGCTCCTCCTCTCCTCCCGGGTCCCGCGAGCCGCCCGCGCGTCCCCGGGCCACCGCGTTCCCGAGCCACCCCCGCATCCCCCGAGCCGTGCGCACCACCGCACATCCCCAGCCGCCCGCGTGTCCCCAAGCCGCCCGCGCCTCCCCGAACCACCCGCACGTCCCCAGCCGCCCGCACGTCCCCGAGCCACCCGCGCGTCCCCGAGCCACCCGCG